CTAGAGAGCTTCACCTCAGCCATTCAGAATGTGGTGCGCTCAGCAGCAGATAGATGCACTGCAGAGGTTAGGATTATGCTCGGTCCCGCGGAGGAGAGGTCTGAGGATTTAAACATTAAACTAAATTATTATTATTTAAATATATTTATTATGCAACACCCGCAAGCCGACCCGCATCATCTTTGTTTTACCCAGAACCGAACCCGGAAAAAAGCGTTTGAAAAAATACCACCCGCAAATCACCTTTTTTGCGGGTCACCCGTCGGGTACCCGCGGATACCCGACCCGATGCAGGACTCTGCTATCTGGTCAGTAGGTTGCAAACTGTCTATTTGTTCCATCACCTGCCAGATCTCTCTGCAGCATACACATTCATCTGCAGTGGGCATGCTTTCACAGCATTGACATGTACGCCTGAATATTGTACATAACATAAACAAAAAAACAATATCTGCCGGACCTGTGAGGAACAGATGACAAATTAAGATCGACATTTAGTGCAAGTCAAATGAAATAAAACATAATTTACCATTCAGTATTGCCGACTCGAGTCTCGCCGGCTGCGGAATCCGCTTCTCTTTCACAAGTTTCTGCCTCGTTGTTCGATTGCCGGGCAGGAGGCTCGTACTGATAAGGCAAGATGCCTTGAAGTGAAAGGCTAGCTGGTTCACTCTCTACTTCTGTAACTGAATCCAGATAACCCACCGAATCTGAGCTTGAATGATCGCTGTCGCTGTCGCTGTCTGAAGTTGTCGCGTTGCTTGCCATTTGGACTGATTTGATCAAATGGCAATATTTGCCACGTGTGACGTCACCGCTCGTTCGGGAGTGATCGGGGGCGTACTCGGCAAACTTCGGAACCAACATCGGTTTTTAACGTATATGTCATTTAATTATGACCAAACTTTAAACATTTTTATTTATTTTTATTCTGGTGATATCTAAACTACATGTTAAAAAACACCTGTGTTAGATGCATTACATGGCCTTTAAGTACAGAGTCTGATTATTCTTCCACCTCTGTGTCACTGTGATTTTACCTTTTCAGTTTTCATCACTCTCCAAAAAGGACCTGAATGCCAGGGACTTCCTACCCAAGTCCATAATCTCTGCTGTGACCCGCAAACGTAAGAAAAGCCTGAGCACCCACCTGCAGGACGACAGCGCCGACGAGGACTCCGAGCATGAGCCCGTCAAAACCAGCAACTACGGGGGAGGACAGGAGGAGGGGGGGGAGGAGGAAGCGGAGAGAAGGAAGGAAGAGTTGCATACCTTCCCTAAAAAAGAAAAAAGGGTTGAAGAGGAAACGGCGGTGAAAGCTAGAGAGACCTCTGAGGGAAACCATTCTGTGGCTGCAGAGGAAGGGTCTGAACAGGAAGTGGGGAGTGGAGCAGGAAAAGCGGCAAAACATTTTGAAAAGGATAGTAGGCGTAGAACCACCCCGCCTCGAAATGTGCCGCAGCTTCGTCCAAACAGTTTCCACTGCCAACACTATCAGACCACCTACCCAAGACCCCCAGCAGAGTATTCTTCTTTCAATGTGAGGCCTCACAACCAGGCCAGAGGACTTCCCATAGTCCCTTTCTGGATCCGCCCCACCCGGCTTCCCAGCCTCTACCAGTCTTCGAGCTTTTATGGGACCCAGCAGCCCGACTGGAACCAGTCCGCTCCGGTCCACTACAGGAAGACGAGAGGGGAGAGGACCAGAGCTGTGTCCATGAATCTGGACCTGGAGCTGGGCAGGGGGGAGGACAGGGTGAGAGGGTGGAGAGCAGAGAGGGTGGAGGTGATCCGGGTCATTGAGGGACCACCGGGTCAGGTTGCACGTGTTGGGGTTCCTCAGGGATTAATTGTAGGTCCTGGGTCAATTCAGGAAATCGATTCTCCCCCTCACTCTTCCTCGTCCTCACCTGCTGCTCACCCTGTGGTCCTGAGGAGGTCGGGTTTGGCCCCCCGGGACAAGACGAGAGCATGGCGGCGTCACACGGTGGTCGTTTAACCGTCTCATCCACTAATGGATGCACCCCCCCTTTACTCACAACACTGGAGCGCCTGTCACTGCCTCCACACACAGCATGTTACTTTAGGGGTCTCTGATATTATTAGCAGCTGTAGAGTTTCATTCCAAAATGATATCACCGTCAATTAAAACATGTGAAACCCATAGGATTCACTATTCAACTCAAATCGAAGCTATGCATCTTTAACCCTTTACCTACAAAATAACTGTAGATTTTATTATCGTATATCGTTATACATTTCAAAAGGACATTAGGGCTGAAAAAGGTGAGCTGATTTAGGAAAACTACACATCAAAAAAATCTGATCACAGTTCTCAGGGAAAAAGTCTGTGTGGTGGGATCCACACCACTGTCGTAGATAGTTGCGTTACATTACATTAGATGTCATTTAGCTGACTTGCATACACTTCAACCCAGCAGACATGCCACAGAGCAATTGAAGGTTAAGCATCTTGCCCAATGTCCGCCTATACTGGTGAGGGTTATATATAATACTGTATCTGACAAGCTAACATGCTAACAAAAAACAGCCATGCTACTGTTTGTCAGTCACAATAGATATTGCTAGGTAACTTGCTAATTTTCAGTTAGCTTGGTCGCTAACAGAACAATAAGTTCATACAGTTGTTGAGAAGAGGTTGACTTAAAGTGGAACATGCCCCAGCCGATAATCTTAGTTTATGCTCCTCAGCTTTTCTATCATCCTTATGACCATCACCTGAAGGGTCACCAGTGAGAATTCAAGGATTTAACAAGTGACTCCACAACAATTCCATTGACATGGCCAAATATTGCTGTTGTAAATGCTGGTCAGACAGGGGCTTTACAACAATATAACTAGATACACTTGTTTCCTAAAGTAGTTTAATTGAATGATTCTTGGGAAAATGTGGCAAAATATATCTTTAGATGAAGTGAACGGAGTGATGAGAGATATACATATCAAAAAGAATAATGCAGTGAATTGCAGAGCAGATTTATCTGTCTTTTCAAATGTATGGCTAGATATATTCCAGGGAAGTAAAACCTCTAAAATTACAACAACAAAAAAACATACACTAATGAATAACAGTGACCATGTTATTAAAGCATCTCTCAAGAGATTCTGATTGGAACAATCTCAATCGTTTACAGTGCTGTTCCTAATACAACCACTAGCTGGTGCCAAAGTAAGGAGTCCTAAATCCTACACATAGTGGCATTATTATATATTTCTTAAACATTTTTCTGGAATGAAACCCTTAAGTTGTAAATGTAAAACAGGTTTGAAATGAGAAAAAGCCATAAGAGATGATTGAAATGAATCTCCTGCTGACTCACCAGAAGACACTCGGCCACAGGTCTTATGCAAAGTGCTGTACATGCTGCTGTCTTCCTATGATGTCTTTGACAATACCCACATGGGCAAAAATAACCTATTCAACCAACCTGCCGCCCTGAGTTCAGCTCAGTGACTCAGAGGAAGCTTCAGTTTACTGCTCGACCCTTTAAAGCTCTTCCAAAGCCTCCTGAGGTCCTGCAGGGACCCCAAGTCACCCCCCTGGATGATGGGACTTGGGCATTATGCCAAAACGTCCATGGACTAAAACATGTGTGCATGGGGTCAGTGATATTTCAGTGAGTACAAATATGCTAAGTGTAAGCCTGTCTGTCCTGCTGGTGTGTGTGTGTGTGTGTGTGTGTGTGTGTGTGTGTGTGTGTGTGTGTGTGTGTGTGTGTGTGTGTGTGTGTGTGTGGTCCAGGGGAAACTAACAGGAGCGTTTAAGGCAGCTATGTGACGTCATGCCAACATGATTTATCTTTTTTCTGTTTGTACAATATCAGCAGAAATGGAGCCAAGAAGTGACCTGTGCACTTATTGCCACAGTGGGGTTCCACTTCATACATTATATCAGTGTTACTGTCGCCGTGGCAGCAGTTGTAAGTAGGTGAATAAGCTCCTTAAATCCAAACACCAGTCTTACCTGAGTTACACTTCTTCCTTTCCACGTTTTCACTATCTTTGCTCCCGTTAACAAACATTAGTTGTTTAAGTCGTCAGACTGTGTGTCTTAATCATATCTACAGTCTGTCCTCTGTGCCCCTGTGCATGGACTTTATGTACGTGGGTGACTGTGCGTGGACCAATTTTGTAACAGTTGTACAAAGCCTTGTTAAGTTAACCTGTGTATATAATTATTATGCATAATATATTAAATTATTTGTTTTGGAAGACGTGGTGTGCTTATTTTCTGATTCACATGTGAGTTTCTGTGAAAACAGTTGTATAATGTTGTGTGCATGTGAAGTTTAAGATATAAGCAGGTTCAAATGAAAGACCATTTTAGTGTAGACTTGATCAGAATTTGAAACTGATTATGCCAAGGCACCGTATGAACATTACTTATACAAAAATAATTTCAGAAACCTGCATTGATCAATTTAACATTTCACATCATATATTTTATTTGGCACATGGTCATAACTGCCATAGAATATCCGTATAACTTTATAGAGGCTAAAAACACTTTTTGTTATATTCCATGGAATGATCTTAACATCCCGATAGCAATGAATATATTAAATGCTTTGACAATAAATACATAACATTTAATCTGTGGAAGCAGTAGCGCTGTAAAAAGCATGACCAATCATTTTAGCCGGCCCGGGTAAAATAACTGGATGGCCTACCTGCCTGTCAGCCTTCCATCTGTGCACAAACTTATCTCGTGCCCTCATTGGTCATGTGCGCGTTCGTGTGTGTTGGAGGAGGGGCCATGGATGTATAATAAGAACTGGGTTGCGTTCCAATAGTCCATTTAGCTTAGGAACCTTCCTAACGGAGTGAAATGACCCGGAAGTCCCTCAGTGGCAGCCATGAATTCTCTAGATGATAGGAAATGAGGTTTCAAACTTCCCTTATAACCTCCTTTAGATAGGATCCACTGGACCTCCCTTGACGAAAGGAGAGGAGAAAATGCTGCCCCACAATGCCTTGCAGCCGCAGCATTTGCCGTCACACAACAGTCGGCCGATCACGGAAACAACATATTATGACCTAGAAATGATATCATGAAAGTTACGGTGCTTATTAAGCATTTTAAAACGTATGTGGTAAGTTGCCAAAATGCTTTGTTTTGAACGTTCATCAGTATTATAATCAAAAAGAGAAATATGAACGTTTTTACTGAAATGATCAAATAAAGTCAACATTTCACAGTCTTTACTGAGCTGTGTGGGGTTTGTTCAACTTTTAAAAGATGTTTGAATGGTGATATACACAGGTGTTAAGGACTTACGTTTATAATAAATACATCTATATTGATTTTAAGATATTTTCATAGTTCATACAATCATACGTATTGGGATCATTTGTATTAATATGGACCGGAGGGAGAGGGTGATGAGCATAAGTTTCACTTTCCCTTTTTTATTTCAATTCCAACTTTGGTCATGAAGAATATGTTTCTCTGTTGTCCCCGTTCATAAAGCATAAAACAACAGCATCAGAGCACGGTGCATAGTCTCTAGATGAGTTTACAGTAGTTTTCTTCACTCCGCTGGGAAACTGCTCTCATGTCAAGAAGCATGAGATCAGTGCATGCACTACATCGGCCAGTGAGCGATACACAGTAAGGGGGCGGGGCGAGTGTCTGAGGATTTCATCGAAGGATGGTCTGGTGGTTCCTCGGTTATAGCTCCTCCATTATCGCTCCTCGCTCCTCCAGCAAAAATAAGGCCATAGCTTGGTTTCACTTGACGTCACACCGCTGCGTTCCTTTGGCGCGAAATTCCATTGGAGGTCAGGAAGTAATTTTTATACAGAGGATCTAGCTGCTGTTACCATTGTGAAAATGCCGGTGTGTTGTGTAGTT